CTGGTCTCAGGTTTCCCCAGCCACACTAAGGAGGGTATAGCCATAGCCGTCCTGGGATTACAGTATGAGGTTGGTGGAGCCAGGATCAGCCCGTTCAGTCTGGGAAGAGTGAGAGCAAGCACCCGCTGCTTTGCTTTTCTGATCTTCAGCTTGAAGTTTGAATCCCAATATCTATCTGTCTCTGGGTCTTTTCAATTATCGTGTTACATTATGTAACAGTATAGCCATAGTCGTCCTGGGATTACAGTATGAGGTTGGTGGAGCCAGGATCAGCCGGTTCAGTCTGGGAAGAGTGAGAGCAAGCACCCGCTGCTTTGCTTTTCTGATCTTCAGCTTGAAGTTTGAATCCCAATGCACTCTTAGCTACTGAGTCATCTCCCCAGCCTCTGTCACAGTATTTCAAAAGCAAACTACATGTGACCCTGTGATGGCAAGATTTCAGGTAAGTCCCCGTTCTCCATGTTGTCTGGAGAGTATTTCATTCTGTAGGTCAGACTGGATTCAAATTCACTCTGTAGCCCCGGCTGTCTTCAGACTTGCAACACTACAGTCCCAGCCTCTGGAGTGCTGAGGTAAAAGGTTCAAACTAATTTTCCTTCATTCCTGGCATTTTCACCACCATGTGTAAAGGGACACCGTGACGTAGGGAAGCTTTCAGAGTGAGGGACGCTCATGTGGCGGCCCCTTCTCCCGTTTCATCCTCGGCTTGCTGTACTTCCTGCTGCCGCGCCGGCTGGCTAGGTCGCGCTGTAAGTAAGGCTTCCCCATAATAAATACCCTTATATTTTTACCTGACTCCGTATTGGTAATTCCCACTTTAACCATGCCCAGCCCAGATGAGATTCTTAAAAAATTATCTCCTTATCATTTAGAAATAAACATTGAAATACTGCAGTACTTTTGAAATGTGTGGCTTCCAGGCGTGTCCAGTCTTTTCGTATTGGTATTCAATGTGATGAGTACAAAGTTCAGGCTAGAAAACTGCACGATCAAGTTACCAAAAACAGAAAAAAAAAACTCAGTGTTTTCAAAACTAAAAAAGAAAAATATCGAAGACAACATTAAAACAAAAAAACCAACAGGGTCTCAC